GATCAAGAGGGGTAGGGGAAAGGAAAGAAGGGAAAGGAAAAATATGAGAAAAGGAAAAAATGGAAACAAAGTCTTTGTAAATAGGGAAGGGTGGAAGGGGTGAAGGGAGGGCAGAGGAGTGGGGAAAAAATAAGAACCAAGATACATCATGTAAAGGTACAAATTCCCAATGATAAATGTAAATGTATTGTATACCTAAAATGTACCAAAAAAGAATTACAGGGAAAAAAAATAAAATAAATCATCTGCCAGCTGCCAGCTTTCAAGTTTCACTGTGCTTAGCAAAACACGGTGAGCCCCCCTCTGATGGGGATTTTATCAAAATGGCCATGTTGTCTGAGAGCAATTCCCTTTTTCATGATTTCTCAAATGAGGTTAAAATTATGCAATGCATCTCTGAGATGATACTTAAGAAATATTGTTAAAGATTGAGTTCTGTGCATGGCAAGTGATGTTAGTCAGCAGCTCACCACTGACTTACAAATGACAGCCTGTTACTCCATGTATTGGATGAAAGATTTAAGGAGTTCCATGCAGTCTATATCACTCAGGAGCCCATTCAGAAACAGACTTTTTCTCAGGTGGGTAAGTCTTTTGCCTAGTAAAGAGCCTTTGATAGAGGATCACTTACAAAGACTGGGCAAGGTTAAGAGAACAAACGAGAGGAATGATATATACTGAAGCTAGCATTTGCTGGAGTTGTTCCTATCTCTAGGACTGAAAACTCAAGGAAGGAAACAGTGTTATCAGAACCCACAACCCTAAAGGAAAAGCCACAGAAGCCCTAGTGGAGGGAAAGTATACATACTTTCAGAGACAGAGCACCAACACAGGGAGAGAATGGGTAAGAAAAACCACAACTTCTCTCCCTCTGCTCTCTAATCTCTTTCAGGTGATTCTTAGTCAAATCAACTGGAAACCATCCCACCAGTGACCGAATGCTACAGTCTACAGGGCCAACCATCTGGGACCTAGCAGGGAAGTATAAAATTGGATCACCAGCAAGGTAGGTGAGAGTTGGAAAGGGCAGAAGATATGTGCAAAAGAGCACAAGTCAGACCATCTCACTCCACTGCTCAAAACCCTCCAATGGCTTTTCACCTCACTCAAAGCAAAATCTGAAGTCTTTGCACAATCCTGCAAAGCCATTTGGTCCCCTACCTTCTCATCATTTTCTAGCATGGTAGCAGCTGCATGGAATTACTTAATCTTGTTGAAAACAGACCTTAGATTAAAAGTACAGAGATTCAGAGTCCAGGCAGAAAACTTGTGCAAAAATGTAAGTGATGGATGATAGTGGTTTGGTTGCACAGCAAAATGAAAGTCTGAATGCTGAAAATATTTTGAAGGTAAGTCAACAAATTTTGTGACACGTTGCATATGAGTTGTGAGAAAAACAGAGCAATCTCAACTACAAAAGCTTTTGTCTGAAGTAACTAAAAAAATAGAGTTATAACTTACCAGGATGAAAATACTGCAGGAAGAGCTATCTCAGTTTGGAGGAGAAATTCTCATGTTCATTTCAGCATATGGAAAACTGGAGAGGCCAACTAACTACTAAATGGAGACACTGAGTAGACATTTAGCTACAAGGGAATATCTTGGCTGAAAATATAAATTTGGGGGTCATTAACACTTGGTGATATTCAAAGTTAAGAGACTGGATAGGGTCACCAAGTTGGTAAGAGTAGAGAAAAAAGAGAAAAGCGGCAATTCCTAGACTACTTTCAAGGTTTGGAGATTGGAAAGATGAGAGAGAACGAACACATGAAACAGAGAGGGACTAACGGGTGACACAGGAGGAAAACCAGGAACTGCCTGGTCAACAAGCTGAAGGTGGAGAATTGGTCAGTGGCCGTGCAGAGACTCAGCACCAGCAGGCTCAGAGAGTCGGTGTGGTTGGAGGTCCAAGACAGAACTAGAGGAGAGGTCACAGATGAGTCTAGATGGTTTTTGTGGGTCAGAGTATTGGCATTTTCACAGGTCTCTTTGGCTCCCTGTTTGTCCTCACTTCAACATATCTACCAAGGACCTCCTAAACTTCAATGTCTGCTTTATTTCACTTAACATTGTGGTTTCAAGGTGCATCCAAGAGGCCGTTTTCTTAACCTCTCTGAGGCTCTTTTAAAAATATAAATAATAACATTTCCTACAATATAGAACTGATAAAAAGATTAAGTAAGGTAATTAAATGAGGTACTGAGCCCCACACCTCTTGTTATTTTTACATTTCTTAAAATGCCAATCTGATTATGCCAGTGACTCTTTCTTTTTCCATTGTCTTTCATCAGATGAGCCCTAACTTAACATGCTATTTCATTTACTTCACATTTGATACTCCAGAAATATAAAGATACTTGTGGGTTCCTAAACCTTTCTACGACAAAAGGCTAGACAGAGCCCTTGAACTCCTTTAGGGTTTCAATTTAGGAAATGTCATGAACAAAGACTTCCACTAGGGGGTGAGCAAGGAAAGAAGGAGAAGAAGGAAATGAAATTAGTCAATTTGCTGCTGGTTTGAAAGATATCATAAATTTGCCCAAGATACAGTTTTCATCTGTGCTATTACTGGGACAGGAGTTAGCCTAGGATTTTTGAGACAAAGGAGGGGTGGGGAAGAAGAAAGAGGAAGAAGGAGAAGGCCAACAAGGAGGAGAAGGAGGAAAGAAAAAAGGAGGAGGAAGAGAGAAACAAGGAGGAGAAGGAAGAAGAATTACAACCACAATAAGTGTGATATGGGACAGAAGAGGAGAAGGAAGGCAAAGACGCATAGAATAGAAAGAAGTAGGGAAAGATGGAGAAAGGGAAAAATCTAGCCACAACACCTTCTGGTCAGCAGTTTGCTTTGTTCTTAGGGGAGAAAAAAGTCTAGAGAAGGGGTGGGGGAAAGAGGAGAGAGAAGTGGAGGAAGGGGAGGAGGAGGAGGATGTGAGACTGGGCTAGAGAAATGAAAGCAAGCAAGCCTTGCAGGTGGCACTTGGGACAACCTCCCTGAAGTACAGCAGCTCCCCTTTACAGGGACCCAGACCCCCAGAGGCTGAGCTAAGAAGGCTGCAAGGCTGCAGGGGAACCAGAGGAGAAGCAAACAAAGCCATGGTGAGCTTCTAGCCTACATAATTTCCAAATACTCAGATAGAAACTCTTCTTGGAGTTGTAGAGCCAGGTTGTAAGGGGACAAGAGGCAACCAGTCTCATCTATGGTTTTAAAAATTGTAGAAATAAAAAATGCTTTCAGGGTCTCAAAAAAGTGATCCTGGAATCTCTCCTCTCAGGTGTGTTAATGTCTACCCCCTGACATTGTCTCTGGTGAGATTCTGCTTTTGCAACAAAACACAACAGCAACCTGGAAAATGATACGCTTCAGAAAGTACAGTTTTAAGGTCTGCAGAAAATCTGTGGTTTTTCTCATTTAAGTTACTTGAAAATATACTTCTTATTTGTATCAAAATGCACTGTTTTCCTTTCCTGGCCTCTCTTTGACTATTTAATTCTTTTAGGTATTTGAGATGTTGACCCATCCCGATCAAGTGTAAGAAGATATTATTAAAACTAAGAATCACTAGTTCATTAAGCACAAAAATACTTTTTAAAATATGCATATCAGATGTTAAATAGTTTGACCTGAAGGCTGAACAGAAAGGCAGATACAAAAATTACTGAAATACAGAAAAACATCACCAGAATAAAGTTCAGCAACTTGAGACTAAAAAATGGATTCAAAACTATGTATCAGTTTTGGGGTAAATTTGATGCAAGTTTTTCATTTATGTCGGAGAACATTATTACTCTGGATAAGATTAGTATATGTGCTGTGTTTTGAAATTGAAGGAAGTTGTAAGAACCACCTCAAGGTGCTGTACATTTGTGGTTTACAATCGAAATTTCCTTTTGTATTTTATTGCAGGTATTTTCATGGAAATGTCAGAGTTCTCCAAGCAGCTTATGGAACATCTTCAAACTGTGGGTCTGGGCCGTGCTCTGTTGTGGTATGTTGTGATATTTTCTTGAATATCCACTGAGAGTAAACAGTTACAGAGAAAATTATTAGGTAGACAGTTACAATTCTATCCTTCCTATGAGCATCTCTTTTCTTCCGCTTACCTTAGCAGTTCCCTGGGAATCTCCTGATCCTATCTTTACCTGCCATACCCCTTGCTCCCAGGTCTAAATCCTGATAATCTCACAAAAGTTCAATTATGAAGGAATATAGTTAATTAAGAAATCTCTCATCAGGCCTTTGTAATCTGTGCCAATTATTTAGCACTTCATTTTCTATTAATTTAATGTATATCAAGGGAATTTCTACAGCTATAGTCTAGTTCCTTGAGGTAGAGGCTTTTAATTATTTTGATCCTTCTTCGCTGATGTTACAAGTTGTTTTTTTGTTTGTTTATTTGTTTGTTTTTGGTACTGGGGATTGAACTTGGGTCCTTGTGCTTGCAGGGCAGGCAGTGGAACCACTGAGCTAAATCCCTGGCCCTAATGGTACAAGTTTTGTGTCTAAGTGTTAAAGACTCTTCAGCAATAGTTTTGAATTTTCTTTCCTATTTCTTGAATAAGCTAATGTCTTCTTAAGCCTTCACTTGGATTTTCAGCTCTGACCATGCAAACACATTTACCATGCTCTTCATTCCCAGTGTGATAAAAACGATGGTGAATGCCTAAATTAGAAAAAATGATTACAGCAAAAGACATGTTATTAATTCCCCTCAAGATACCATGCCCACACATTTCTAACACACTTTTCCCACCATTCTCGCCACTTTTCTAAGCAGCTCTGGAAGTCTTCTTTTGTGAGTGTCTTTAGTTGCACTGTTGTGGCTGCCTCACTGTCTTGAATCTATGCAAACTGTTTACATGTCATGGTCACTTTTGACTATGGGGACAAGCCAGAAGCTATACAGTGCCAGATCCAGTGAATAAGGCAGATGAGGACACACTATGATGTTTCTACAAACCTGCCTTTCATTGGATGACATTGGCAGCAGCATTCAACATATTTTGATCACAACTTTCAAAGACACTCAGGAAAGAGGACTTCCAGAAAGGCTCTAGAAAGTAGCAAGAACAAGTGTTTGTGTATGTAAGGCTAGGGGGAAGGGGAGGATTTTGAGTGAGATTAATGGCCATGTGTCTTTTACTGTGATACATTTTTAAAACTTAAACATTCTCCATAATTTTCAATCACCTCTTAACATATTCCCTATCCTGTGTCAGCCCCATGTCTTATTTTTATTCAACAAGTATTTTCTGAGTATTTTCCGTTTTAGATACTGAAGATATAGCAGTGGCCACAACAATTTATTTCATGTTAGAACTCACATTCTAGTGGAATGGCACTTTCAAGACTTTCATGTTTATGATGTTACTGTAGGATATTCTTTACTCATTAATCATATTTTCCAGTTCTCTGCTTATTTCTGGAGTATTTGATCTGATCAAGGTTTATTATCTTGTCTTTGCATCTGCTGTTCTTTGTCCAGAACCTGAAGAGACTGTAAGAACTGGATCTAACTTTGATTTGGCATTTCTCCAGGGTGCTTGTTTACACAGTGAATACACAGCAAAGATAGATGACTGTGAAAACTTTAACCTTACTGTAAAATACTATTTCACATAGATCACACCATGTTAGAATGGCATTTATCATTATGGAATCATTGTATAATTATGTGTTTAATTGTGTTTCTTCAAAGCCCTTATAGTTGAAGCTCAGTTGGGTATCTTCACATATATAACCTAATATAATCAATTTTGTAATCCTACATCATTTGGTTTTGTAAATTGTTCTTTTTTTCTATATAGTTACATATATAAGGCTTGGACTATGAATTGAGGCCTTCTCAGAACAGCTTTTCTTATAATAAAATATTATCTTTTTGATATGGGAGAGATATGTAAAAGTATATCATTGTTCTTATTTTGGTTCTCCTTGAGGAAGAAGCCTAAGGAAATTGATACATACATCAGGAAAACAATAATACATGTTGGCCTTGAGAAAATTATCCTGGGATTTTAAAAAGTAGACTGTAAATTTTACAGTTTTATGATATTATACTTTATATTATTTTCAAATGATTAACAGCCACCAGGAAAATAAAATGCCAATTTCTTTTTTTTCTTTTTTTCTTTTTAACTGGGGATTGAACCCATGGCCTTTGCATTGAGCTACATCCCCGGATTCCTTTTAATTGTTTGTTTGTTTGAGACAGGGTCTCACTAAATTGCTAAGTTGCACAGGCTGGGCTCAGACTTGCAATCCTCCTGCCTCAGCTTCTGATTTTCTAGCTGGGGATATAGCTCAGTGGTAGAGTGCCTGCCTAGAAATTCCTGGGTTCACTTCCTAGTACCCCACACACAGACACACACACACACACACACACAAAGAAATCTGAATTTGTAAAATATGTTGGTTAAATTTCACTTGAAAACATTTTCAGAAAACACTATTTTATGAAAGTAAATCTAGAAAGCCAACCCACTCAAGTAAAGCAATGCCATGAGTAAAGGCTTCTATAGTCAAATGAGAAGGTCTGAGGTCAACTGCAGTCAACTGCAAAGGGCTGACGTGGGGGTCTAAGCCAGTCACCTGGTCTTTCCTACTGGGTTCCTCCTCCTCCAGTGGGGGGCTCAGCCTGGTTTAGTGCTGAGCCATCACACAGGTCACACTGGTATCTTTCAGATTTCCTGGCACATTATGGAACTGACTGCTGGACTTACCATTATTCTGCAAAACCCATGAAGTGGGAAGATGCTAGGAAGTTCTGTCAAGCAAATTACACGGATTTAGTTGCCATCCAAAACAAGGGAGAGATCGAGTACCTGGAGAAGACACTGCCCTTCAGCCGCAGTTACTACTGGATAGGGATCCGGAAGATAGGAAATACGTGGACGTGGGTGGGAACCAACAAGCCCCTCACTAAGGAAGCAGAGAACTGGGGGGCTGGGGAGCCCAACAACAAGAAGTCCAAGGAGGACTGTGTAGAGATCTACATCAAGAGGCTCCAAGACTCGGGAAAGTGGAATGACGACGCCTGCCACAAACGGAAGGCAGCTCTGTGCTACACAGGTGGGAGTGGCCACACTCCCGGGCTACCCCCTGCTCAGGGCCACCCTGGTTAGAACAATCTGACTACAGCACCGGAGGGCGGGGTGGTGGTGGGGGTGGGGAGACAGCAGTTTCTGCTTCATCTTAAAACACTTCCAACCCTCTAGATCGGTTGGATCCTGTCACATTTTTAGTGTGTAAAGCTGGTCCCTATACCCCTGAATTCAGTTCCCCCGAGGCTATTGGCCCACTGTGTGGGAAGTAGGGAGGAGGCGCTGGACAGCCAGGGCCCCAGGATGCGCACTGGGCGGTCACTGCACTTGGGGCCCTTCATAGCTTAGGTTCCTATCACCTACTTCCTCCTTGAGGAGTAGGGGTTTGTGCTAGACCTTTTCCTGGCCTAATCTTATTAATTCTGTATAGTAAAACATTGCACTATCAGTGTATGCAAATTTATTTCTGTAAAAACTATTACAAAATTCTAACAGTATTTTTCCCAGTCATATTTTAACAGTGAAATGTAGTGAATTGGTCATTTACAAATTGGATCTTACTACTTTATAATGTTTGGATGTTTTAATTGTAGCACTTTCTCTAAAGAAAGGGATTGTTAAGCAGAGTGCAGAAAGGATTGAGGTCGGGTCGTCATTAATATGCTTATTATATGAAAAACAAATAATTTCAAGAGTTTCCATATATGTCCCTGAGTTTCTCCAAAATGTTATACTATTACTATCAGTAAATTTACTCTAAAAGGGAAGAAATGCCTATGGCCATATGGCTAGTACAGCTCACAAATAAAAATTTTAGCACATGACTTTTATGCAAACACTTTTGTGAATGTATGAAAAAATCCTTCCTGTTTATTAAAACAGTCCCCAACAAAAAGTTAGCTACGTCTAAGGAAATGACTGTGAGTACTAAAATGTAATCACATTAAGCTAGTTTTTTCTAATCTCCTTAAAGCTTCTTGCAAGCCCAGGTCATGCAGCGGCCATGGAGAATGTGTGGAAGTCATCAATAATTACACTTGCAACTGTGATGTGGGATACTATGGGCCCCAGTGCCAGTTTGGTAAGCCCCTTTCCTTTCTTTGTTTCTTCCTATACAAAATCACAGGAATCATCGTAATTTATGTTAGAAGTTGGTTGGGACAAAATGATACTAGCCATTCTGAGAAGTGGGAAGTTTTAATCAGAGTTATTCTTTCACAATGGTTGTCTTTCTGTAAAGATTTCACAAGTCAACATGAAGTTCTGCTGAATTATGAAAGTCACTTCTCCGCAAGGTTTTGGGGGAGGGGTTTGTTTTGTTTTGTCTTGAGTACCACAAAGAACCAGGTGGTTACAAGAAGAAATCAGGTGTGATAGAGTCCCACTCTCATGGAGCTCCCAATCTAATGAGCATCCTGGATTAATCAGAATTTTAAAATCTGAAAGAAACTATACTATTTATCATTAGGAGGGTGAGTTGATCCAGAAGGTAATCTTGCTTTTTTATAGAAAGCTATTTCATATAATGATACATAGCACATGTCAGAGATATATAACAAATTCTACACATTGATTTGGGCTGGGTATTTCAGGAGAATACAAAGGTAAATGTATTATAGATTCTGCCTTTAAAGGAGTTAGAGTTAATGAATGGAAATTATATATGCTCCTGTTGGAGTTTGGTGGAAAGCAGACAACTGGGGTATAGTTGTGGGTTCTGGAGACTGCTGAGTGGAGGAAGCTGGCCTTTATTTGGCAGTGATGGGCCACTCTGCATTTAATAGTGACACACAAGTCAATCATTCTAGAAACAGCAGATTGGATAGATTGGAAAGCAAAAAAGGAAGATAGAGAGGGTCATCGGGAACTTTTTGAAATCATTCAGAGTCATGGTGGTGAAAATGGAGAGAATGCAAAGATTCAAAGTCAGAATCTTTGACCTAATCAATCACTCCTGAAGAAAACATCAGATCCTTTGATTGATGCCGGTCTGGTTTTGAAACTGTCAAGTATCTGGTGCATAAAAAACTTGTAAGAAGAAAAAGAGTTTACAAATAATAAAGAATTAAAGCCAAATAAATTTAAATGTCAACCTGTCATTTCCTGGTGCCCTTCATTGCCAAATAAAGGCCAGCTTCCTCCACTCAGCAGCCTCCAGTCCCCACAAGCATGCCCCAGTTGTTTGCTTTCCACCAAACTCAAACAGGAATAGATCTAACTTGTTTCATTTCATCCTTGACCCATGACTCTGACTCAATACATTACCCCATCCAGGACTTAAAAAAATCTTTATACTGTGGGTGTGCCAGCATGCCTTTCTAAACATTGCCCTCTTCCTTCCTCCTCATCTTCTTCCTCTTCTTCCTCCTTCTTTTGTCTTTCCATCATATCATTTTTTCCTCGTTGTCTTTTTACCTATGATCATTGCTACTGGGTTCCTTTATAGACACTTAGTCAACCCCACAAACTAGTCACTTCTTAGCCTTTGTCTTGTCTATGGCTCTTCTGACTCTTTGTGGTCCCTTTGGTCAAACTTACTGACACTTGTGGATTTACAAATACATGTGATCATTGGACTGACAAATCTGTCTCATGCCAAATATGCTAAGAATATCCTTTAGGAAGTCTAAAAGATGGTAGATAAAGCCCATTGTCCCCAGCCACCTTTCCCTTTCGTAATTTTTATCTCAGTATGTGGAATCACCCTTTACATGGGGTTATGGTGTGAGACTACCCACCTCTGGCATTTGTGCCTGGAAACATACTACCAATTTTTATAACATTTTTCTAATTTGTCTCCTATTTGTCAATTCTATTACCATTGCCTTCGTTGTCTTTCTCCTAAATTATCGTAGTGGACTGCTAGATGAGCTCTACAACTTTAAATTAGCTACTCCCCTCCCATATGTTACTCATACTATAGGCAGGCTGATTAGCTTAAAACACACACACACACACACACACACACACACACACACACACACACGGCCATCTATTCTTTAATTTACATCTATCATTTGTCCTACAGGATGAAATTTAAGCACCTTAAGGCCTAGAGTAATACTTAATATGTAGTAGGTACTCATAAATCAGTAAAAAAGATAAGAATATTTGCTCTTAGCTCCTATTTTTCTCATTGATCACATCTTTACATTCTTCCCTGCCTCCTCTTTCCTTTTACTAACACTTATAGTTCTCCACCAACCACATGTGCTTTGTATCTAACTGACTTTGCTCCTGGCCTTCTCTCTCATTGGACACAGCGAACACAGCTGTTCATCTTAGTACTGGGACCATTTCTTCCAGGGATATTTCTTTGGACCCCAAGACAGGCATGAGTCTTTCAAGTGGCAGAGCTAGGATTTCAAATCCAGGCATCAGATCCCCTTAACCCTTCCTAATACCATTCCTTTCTTTACTAAAGTGGTACAGTGTGCACCTTTGGAGACCCCAGAGCTGGGCACCATGGATTGTACTCACCCTTTGGGAGAATTCGCCTTTAATTCACAGTGTACCTTCAACTGCTCTAAGGGAACAAACCTACTTGGGATGGAAGAAACAACTTGTGGGCCATTTGGAAACTGGTCCTCTCTAAACCCAACCTGTCAAGGTGAGTGACTTCACACTAAATCATGGTGATCCTGGGTCTATAGTCTGAAAAAGTGCAGAGGAGTTTTGCTAAGAAGGCTGTAACCTCCTTTGGAGCAAAATTTAAACTAATTTAGATTACACTGTGATGCCCTTCAAAGGGATTTTTCTTACTAAAATTAAAAAGAAAACCTCCAAACGAAAATACAACTAAATGCCTCCAAAGCTGTCTAACAGTGCACATCATGATTTGTAGCAATACAATGTGCTTATTGTGTTTTATTTTTCTACTTGCTGTGGTTTAAATAATCAGTCTTGCTGAACCTCAGTTAAATTTTGGTTACTCTCCTCTCAGTAACACTTATTTTATGTGGTGTCCTATTTAACACCAACTGGTTTCCTTCTTAGAGGGTAGAAGGCTGTCTTGTTTTATTTAGTGTATTCTTAAAATCATCTCATACTTTTCCACCCACATGAACTCTTAGGAGAATAACAACTCTTGTGAAAAACAAAAACCAATTTGTCTGTCTTTTTAAAATTTGAATATAGTATAAGATTCCCTCCCACCTTTTAGCTGCCAAAATCATCCCTACACAGGAGAAAATGGGTAGTGTCTGCCTTTGTGAAGTCTTGAAGCCATTTTCTACATTTATGCTCCTGATCCATCAGTTTAAATAGTTTAACTCTCAAAGAAATATTAGAAGCAACCCACCTGTTTAATTTTACAGAAGCTGGGGTTGCTTCAGAGAATTAAAATATTTTTTTAAAAGTTCTTGGGTAGACTATACAACAGGTGAAAAAGTGGAAGCTCTACATTCCCTGAAGACATTCTGCAGTGCTCTTGTGGCAGATGCCCTGTGGCCCAGCACTTGTGGCAGGGCTTGAGAGCCACCATGTGGAGAGAGTAGCCTGGAGCAGCCGCCCTCACTCCACTGTGGGTTTCCCCCGCCCTGTTGGCTTCATTCATGGCCCATATAAATGATCATTCTCAGGAAAATAAGGTCTGGGAGCATTATCAGAAGGAAATTCTGGCAATTAGGAATTTCTAGATTCAAGTGGATGGTTCCACAGTTAAGTAAGATAATTGTACCTAAAATCCTTTGGTCAAGAGAGAGTCTTTGCTCAGAAATACTATTTTGTGTTGTTTTATTTTGCTCTTTTTCATTGAAGCAATTCCGTGTGAGCCTCTAACAGCACCTGATTTGGGGGCCATGGACTGTAGTCACCCCCTGGCCAATTTCAGCTTTACTTCTGTTTGTACCTTCAATTGCTCAGAAGGAACTAAACTAATTGGAGAGAAGAAAACTACTTGTGGACCATATAGAATGTGGTCAAGTCATAGTCCAATATGTCAAAGTGAGTAAGTTTGCCTCAATATTCTGAAAATTTAGCAGATGTTGGGGAAAGATATACGAAACTCTTGAAGTTCATTTTGCTAAACATATGTGGCCTAAACATGCATTTATATGCATCACCTTACTTTAAAGCCTTTGTTGTTGTCTCCTCCTTTAATGACAGTCATCTGCTTTTGTTCATTCTTAACTTACAATCTAATCCCGCTGTTCTGACTTTAGAATGGTTTTCTCATCTATTCTTCTGTTCCACTAAAATGTGCCTCTCTTTTTAGTTCCCTGAAATCCCTCTACAAAGGTAACCAATGGTCACCTAGTTCCCCAAATAATGGCTATTTCTCAATGATCATTAAGCCAATGTCTCCCAAAGCTGTCTCTGTGTTAGGATCGCATCTCATCTTTGCATACTCCCCACCTGACAGAGGACCTGGTGACAGGTGGTACAATAAATGCACACTGAATTAGCATATGAAAGAATAGCTACCACTGTCTGCCCCTGAGACCATCTGCCTAGATAACAAAAGTCTCTAAGTGGTAGGATCTGTAGAAGTCGTCAGAGAGACTGACCTTTGTGTGTGTGTGGAATGAGGTGGGCAGCAGAGAAATGAGGAGACCTTTGCGGGAGGACTGTGGGTCAGCCTTATCAGGCAGGTATATTTAGCTAAGGCCTAGCTAGTGTCCATTTCCTCATCTTCATCCAGCCAACAGGTCTTCTGTTTAGAGCCTCTGGAACGTGAGCCTCTTCTCCATTGTGTATTTGAGTTGGGGATGGAAAAACCTTGGAAGGCTCCATCAAAGCAGCACGAAGAATAAGGGACCAGTTAGACCCCATTCCCATATGTGGAAGTAGATTCCTTCAACTGGAGGCATCACAAAGCAGATTTTTTCCATATTTTTTTTCAGTAAAAACCTGCAAATGAACCCAGTTTACACTTACGAAAGGGTATGTAGATGTGTTCTTTTGCTAATTTGTGAAGAACATGAAGAGAAACAGTAAGACTGTATCATTTGATAGATCAGTGCGGGTTCTTGGCATATAAACAAGTGCTTATCTTTGCACTACTGCTTTTTAAATGTACAGGAAAAGCAATACTAGTTTCCTTTGACTTCTAAGTTACCCAGTTCATATCACTGGCTTTTTTCTTAAAGTTGTATTAGACTTTCCAGATCTTTTCTGTGCTTCATAGTTACAGCATTGACCCAGACCATGGAGCCAAACACATTGATGACCACATATTATTGAGATTTTTAGATACAGTCCCAGGAATTTCCTGCATGACGCATCTAGGGACTGAGATTGCACAGGCATTAGACCAGAGGCTGGTCCAGTCTTTCCCTCTGCTATAGACTCTTCTTGGGAGCTTTCTTATCTGTTAAGAGGCACCAAATGGGCTAGTGTTGGGAGGCATAAGACGGAAAAGTCAAAATCATGTGCTGGACTAAGGAAATACACTGTGGCCTCATGTTGTGTGCCTTATTGATTTCTCTTTCAGAATTGGACCAAAGTTTCTCAGTGATCAAGGAAGGTGATTATAACCCTCTCTTCATTCCAGTGGCGGTCATGGTCACTGTGTTCTCTGGGCTAGCCTTTATCATCTGGCTAGCAAGGCGACTAAGAAAAAGTATGTGAATTTAACTTTACATGAAAATAAACCAACTTTAAAGTGAAAAAAGAAAGAAACTCACAGGAAATTAGGTGCAATAGATTCAACTGAACCAGGTGCCAAGCTTTACGATCTATAGACCTTGGCCCCTGGAGACATATAAATCAGTCAGTACATTCCTTCACTAAAACAGCCCCACTGACTTTTGCTTTTCATTAGGCAAATCTTTAAAAAAATACCTATTGTTTTCAAGGCACCTTGCCAGGGGAGTAATAGCTAAATGAGTTATTCTAATTTGTTCCTAATTTTGAACAAAGGATGCACAAATCTCTGTCCCCAAAGAGCCTATACACCTTTGATTTGGAAGTGAATCTAATGTCCACGTAGGTTTTCAAGGTACTGCTCTCAAATACCTGGCCTTTTTAGAGTCACAGACTTGTCCACCTTCTAACATAGAGTTAGTTGCATTATTCTTGAAATAAATCCCATGCATTCTCCATGACATCACCAAAGCCACAGTGCTTTCCCTCCAGAAGGAAAGGGAAGAAAGAGGACTGCCTTGAGCAATTACTATCTGCTGCCTGGACAGTAGGTAGAGTAGCACCAGAGGAGAATACAGCATTACTGCCCTTTCCTCCCTGGTTGGTGCATCCATGCCTTAAAGTGGGGTCAATCTTTCAGCTTCAGGTCTATTGTCTGCAGCAGGCTTTGAGGGTACACAACCACATTTGGCCAAACTCATTATAAAATTCATAAACATTGGGAAGTTTTTAAGATATCTTGTTTCCAGATCAGGGGTTGTGGGTGACCTCAAAACAATTGCTAAAGCTTTATGTGGCATCCATTGACTGCCATCTTAATTTCCCTTCCATCACTGAGTTAGTATGGATTGTGTTCACTGGATATGGGACTTAAAGATTCCCATATGCACTTGCAATTGCAGGAATATTATCTAGCAACACCTAATGGCCTTCCAGTGTGATCTGATCTTTCACCCGACTTTAGGAACAGAAGGTACTATATGAGTTTTCTTATTAACCCAGGAAGACAATGGAGGGAACACTATATGTGTAAGAAATTCACTAGCTATAACCTGAGAACACAGAACAGTTAATATGTCTGTTAACTCCTACTGTTAGAAATTCTGTGGAGATGGGATCCCACCATCATATAATATTATACTAAATACTTACATACTGTATTAAGGCAAAAGAAGAATGACCTTGCTTTCTCACTATGAATTAGTCTTTCCATTGAGATGTCAGAGCTTGACCCTAACTGACCTTTCCTTGAATGATGATGGCAAAACTGAGTGGGTAGAGAATAGGATGGGTAATTGCGTGCTGATCTCTGGGACAAGGTGGCTATTATCTGAATAACTTTAAGGGCTGCAGGGCTGTAAATCAGCTTAACAGGGAGAATATTTATTCACAACTTCCTATCTTGTAATAAGAGGTTGTAGAATCAAAAGAATTGAGTCAGTCATGTGTATTTAGTGAGGGGTTAGTTGGCTAAGGCTGTTTTATGTATAAGCAAGGTAAGCAAAGCATAGGGTTGTTTTTAAACTTTTTACCTTGGAGTCATTTCTGTACAAGATCTCAAACTGATAACTTGAAAACTGCCATGCCCCTGCTGTGGGAATCAGTGTGGGGCAAACAGGAAGCAGATAACGGGCACTCGGGGTAGTTACAGTTGTGCTGCCACTGAGAACAGACGCCCCAAAGATCACTGACTGTGTAGAAACATCAGGGTAACTTTCAGGTGACAACTGACTAGTCTTCATTTGTGAAACTTCTACCATATCTCCACTTTCAAGTAAATGACTCTGTCTTCCAAAAATCTTAATTATAAGTTGGTTCTTTAAACCATGAAGAGTATTTTTCTAGGTTCCCATCATGAATTTACAGAGATTAGCTGATTCACCGACAAGACTGAAAGTGAAAATAATAAATATTATTTATAAATTATATATAATTTATAATATAATATAAATATATTCATAAATAATAAATCTGTATATATACAGTGTTCCCCTATTTGGAGAATTGTATAGGCTTGTTGGGTACAGAAAGCTGAAGAAAGGGCCAGGTGGAAATTTGGAACATGGCGGCCAATGAAGTGACCTAAATGTTAACTCCACCCTTCTGTCCTCTGAATAGAGACTGGATCCTCTGAACCTAGCACTTGGGCCCTTCCCTGGCAGTCTCGGTATCCAGACTTTAGCTCCTTTCTGGAAAAGAAAGAGGGACCAGATACTTGCTCCCTTACTTGACCCATCTAGGAACATTTTTTTGGTCCTTGCATCATCATTCTTCATTAGTCATCACCATCAGCCCTGTTTGATAAAAAAGGAAACTGAGGCAAAGACGTTTAGGCTTAATCTATTAAAATCACTGATCAGCAGGGGCCACAGTCAGAGATCAGACTCCCATCCAGGTTTGTCTTCTAAAACTCCAGTGTTCAGATTCATAAGGCTGGGTTTTTTTTGGTTTTTTTTAACTTGGAAAAATTTTCCAACTGAACCAGGAGCCAGGGCAAGAACAGGGCATGAAACTGTGTGTGACTCCTTTAGTTCCCTTTTCTTCAAAAAGAAACCTCAGTAGGAACAGAGTTCTGCCAATCTATTGTTACTTGTTTCATTGTTCCCAAATAAAAAAGCATATTTCTATGTGGATAAACAAATGGAAACTGAAGTTAATTCACACTTGCTTCTCTGTGACTGTTATTTGATCCATGTTATCAGCAGGCTGAGTTTGGAAAGAAAAGATTTAAAATAGTAATTTCAAACATGTTTAAGGATTAAAGCAGTAATTGAGCTTTCAGTTATAGGTCCTGGCCTAAAATCTTTGAGTATATTTTCTTTTATCAACCAATAAGGAAGATACAGTTATTTTCGTCTCTCCATTATTTTGAGAGGGGGTACACTGGGAACTGAGCCTGGAGGCCCATGCCAGGCAAGCCCTCTACCACTGGGCTGCATCCCCCACCCTTTTATAAAACTGTAGAGACAGGGTTCTGCCAGGTTGCCTATGCTGGCCTTAAACTTGTGATCCTCCTGCCTCAACCTCCTGAGTAGCTGGGGTTACAGGCATGCACCACTGCACCTGGTTTATTATGCCCATTTTACAGATGAAGAAATCATGGCTCATAGAGGAAATGTTTTTCAAAGACACACTGAACTGCAGGTGGAAAAATCACCTAGGTGGGATGATTTTAGAGGGCACGCTTACAACCACTGAAATATACTGCCACCCAAATGAGTCTTTCTCCTCAAAGAGTCAGTCAGTCTCTCTCTCTCTCTCTTCCTCCCTCTCTTCCTTTCTTTTCTTTGCTTTCATTTCCTCTATACCTCAATTCTCCAGTCATTCATTAATATATTTACTTATAGTTCAATTTTTTCAAAAAGAATGTAAGACAATTTACAGAACACATTCAACATAGCAAATTGGAAGTAGCTAAAAAGCAAGAAAACGAAAGCAAAAACTTAGGGCACAAAAAATAAGTTGGAGCCAAAATTTCAGTAGTTTACAGAAATGCCTGCAACAAGAAGTCCTGTACACACATGAGGAGAGGGTGTCAGGCCTAGCTCTGTGTTTCCTTGCAGCCAGTCCAAAGGAAAGCATAGCCAGCCATGTCAGTCACTGTGTTCGTAAGATGAAAATACAGTGGTTACTCAGATAAGGCTGTGCAGTTCCTAATAACAAGACCAGAGTGAAGTTTTCTTGTGGATTCACATAGAGAAGATGCTGAGAGATGTTATGACACATTTTCTTACAGTGTTAGCAGCTGAATCCCTTAGGGAAGAGTCTGCAGGTAGGATGAAATGTGGGATAAACATGTGAATGGGCATCTTGGGTCTGAGCACCAGATGATTCAGCCTACACTTCTGTCTTCAGGACCAGCCCAAGGATGGCATGGAACCTGAGAAGCTTAGGCATTAACACATTTGTTTTGCTGGAGTACCTACCACTGTTTGAGTTAGAAATTTAAGCCAGGGCCCACAAACCCCTTAGGGAAAGACGAAGGACTGCCTAACAAATGTGCAATGCACTCCAAAAAACAGTTTTGAAAGTGAAGGGTCCCTTACTCAAAAAATTGGTGTTGTGTATTTTCTTTTTTTGCTTATTTTATTTCTCTGTTTTCTTTTCTCTTTTTAGGCAAGAGATCTCAGCAAAGGTAAGTTTTACAGGTGAAGAGTTTCCATATCTGTTGATCTTTTACTTTTCTTAGGATATGTCCTGTCACAACTAGACACATTAACCCCTCAGCAGTTACTAACCTGGGAGTCTCATCTGAATGAAGTTTCGACATAGAGCGATACATCAGTAGCCTCCCTGAAAAGCTGTGGTTTTGGTACTAGTAGAGCTGAATGAATGAATAAATGTATAAGTATTAGGAAGGAGCAGTTTATGTAAAGGGAGTTTTCTTGATTGTTTCCAATTTTTTTTTTGAGGATTACAGGCTGAACAGACATGGAGAACTACATATAATAATTGAATAGGATTTATTGAGAAACTAATGTCCCTAGACCCTAAGAACATACACCCCTAGACCACAGACCCAACGATGTCTAACACAGAAGGGTAAATGACTACTCTAACTCTGATCCAAACCTTGACCCTAAGAACTGACCTTCAGAAACATGGAATTGGTGAGGCTCATGAATTCTACTCACAGCTTTTCAAAGAAACCTTTTTTTTTAGTTTGATCTCAAAACTCAAATTCTTAACCTGGAGAAATAAAGATGGCAGAAATGAAGATGGCAAAATATTTCAGTTTTATGAGTTTAGTGACTTGCTTTAAAATTTTAGCAAGGAGAGTATAAGTAAAAAGAACTGACAATGACCCTTTGGTGATATATTGAGTACCCAGATGGATAATTAAGCTTTTAAAAAAAAATGCTGGAAATGAAGAGAGATGTTTCCTAAAGAGGTTGAGTATTTGGTCAGACAACCATCTCACCAACCACAAATTGTCACTGAGGAAATCTTAGTAGTTCGGTAAGTTGGAGCTCAGGGTAGGGAGGAGGTGCCAGAAGTAAGATACTAAAGTCACTGATCAGTCATATTAAGGAATACTGACCTTACCCTGAGTTTTAGGGGGTGTGACCAAAGGTGTCAGTGTGTGTCACATCTGCCTCTTATGAGGATCCCCGCACAGCGGCAGCAGAACCATGGGAGATGAGTGAGTTTGGAGACAGAGACTATGTTGGAGGCATTTGAAGTTATTAGGGTAAAGCTGTCTGGACAAAACTGCAGTGAGACTGAGTTCATGACATAAAAGGAGGTAGAATCAACTGAATGGGGATCTTAATGGAGAAGGGAAGGGAGCAAAGGAGAGGTGAGGGAGAAATTGCTATGTTTCTGATCTGGGAACTGGTGGGTTGTAGTACTATTTACCACTTAGAAGGGAACATAAAAGAATCAGACATTTTGGAGACAAAGATCTTGAGTTCAGGTTTGTACATGCTGAGCGTCAGGTGTCTGTAGTCCATCTGAAGTTTGTTGGATCTACCCACAGCACAGGTCCTACCTTGAGTTCTTCCATTTCAGGAGGTGACAGCCATCTTAGGAGTGGGTATGATCAGCCAGAGAAAGTATGCATTTGAGAATGGAAAAGGACATACCAGAGGGTGGTAACCAGAGCAACATCAACATCCAAGTCAACTAAGGGAAAGGAGAATAAAAGAGGTGGCCAGAGAGGTACAGGCAAGATGGAGAAGAGCCAGGAAACAAGAATGCCAGGGAAAGAAGGAAACGGAAATAGTTTCAAATAGTGCTAGGAGAACCCAGATGTTTCTGCTGGGCATAACTAGGGTGTCAGCAGGGAGACCTTTTTCGGTATAGACAGAAGTCAGATGCCAAAGGGTAAAGGAAATTATTGTGGATGAGAAAGCAGAAGCATGCAGTCATCTCTTTAAGAAGTTTGGCTACAAAGGGGAGAGGAGTGATGGGTACTGGATGGGGACAGAGGGCCAATGGATGTGCTTTTTATTCTATTACCTTATCTTCTCTTTAATTGTGTAGTTGGGGTCTGAGTAGGAAAAGGTCCCTTTTGGAGTTGGCTTTCTATCTTTGTGACAGGAAACCCACAAGATGCAAAGGTTTCTTTCATGCCCACACCCACTGAGTGAAAGTCTTTTCTGGCACAATCTACCCAGATCTGCTTTCTGCCCACAGGAACCACCTATTTTAACTTCTGCTAGATGGAAGCAGGTCTATCCAGTTTTTTAGATGCCTTGAGGGGACAGAAAGGGATGCTGGCTGGAAGGATACTAGCATTAATTACCATATTAGGCAAATTGCCATATTAAGTTTCATAATACACTGATTTTTATAATGAATGAATTAATCATTGTTTATTGAACACTTTTGTGTTGGAACAATGCTAACCTTGACAGAGACACCAAGAGGAGTAAGCCCTTGTTTCCTAGCCTCAGGGAGATTACTATCTTGTTAGGAAGTTAAGACAGCAAAAAGAAAATAAAGTCCAGAAAAATACAAGGCAGAGTATGGTAATAGCTAGTGAATTTTGCATTGGTGAAAAAAAAGATCATTGGGCTTGGTGATCACAGAAAAATCTTATAAAGGGGGTGGAACTTGGGTTGATTTATAAAGGACAAATGGGGTTGAGGTCGATGGAGAGAGTCAGGGAACGATGGCAGTCCAGAGGAGGGAAAGATGTCAACAATGGTACAGTGTTGTGGCTGCAAATCCATGGTCGAAGCCCATGATCAGGGCCTGGATCCCATGGCTTATTGAGTTCCTCTGGAATAGAAGTTGGAAAGGAAGGTCAGCCCCATCCATATGTGTCCCAGTTGCTTTATCAGATGGTCTGGAAGAACTTAGCAACTGCTCAGCTGCCCTGGAACAGCTCTCATTTATTGACCACAGTGACCTTAATTCATAGAATCATAGAATTTTAGGTCTGAAGAGAATCTTGGTAGACATGATGTTCAAATTCTCTTGGTAGTAGAACTAATTAACTTTTCTATAAGCCTTGAGCTAGTGAGAATTAGTAGTAAATTCTTATCAAATATTAATTTCAATGAAATAATTAACTGTTGATGCAAGCCTGTGAGAGTAGGTACTATTACTATCCCCATTATACCAGGCACAGAGAGTTGCAACAGATACTGTGACTTCATTGAATAAATGGCAAGACAGATTTGTAAGTATATGGATCCAAGCACCATGTACTTACCCCTTAAGATTCTAGAACTCAGGTAACCTGACTCTTACGTTATAGTTATAACTCCCAGCTGCTCCCCTCCTTTAGTAATATGATTGTTTTGCACACTAAACTATTGTGTCATGGCACTGAGGAAGGGTGGGGTAGAAGAAATAGGACATTTATTTTTAAGCTGTTGAGCTGACTCTCACCATCCTTTTACTCATTCCCATTAGCTTTAGGCTGGTGAATGAATGACTCCTTGGGAAAATGTGGTTTTGGTTCTTGGCGGTTTTTCTGACTCTTCTGCAAACCAGTTCTGTTTATCACATTTGGTTTCCAGTGTCTAAATTCTACTTGGGTAAAAGCTACACCCAAGATACACAGGAAGATACAATGCCAACCTCAGAGGAGGGTATGTTAGGTTCTGTTTTGAGAAACATTTTCATCTCTATTTTGGCAAGCACGTTTGCAGCTGCACAGCTGTGGTTTGCCCTGACAGCTCATCGTGAGACCAGAGTCTCAGAATCTGGTTCTCCCTTTGAAAGGTGCTAAGACACACCAAATTTGGCTCTCCCCCTCCTTTCCAAGAATTATACGGTTATAACACACACACAGAAGTGTCATTTATTTTGTGAAACTAAATCTGTCACCATCTTCTTAAATCACACCCTACCAGAATCAGACATTTAGACCTAATACCATTCCTTTCATAAGCTTTGATTTTTTTTCCTCCGATTTGACTTTCCATTTGAATATGGCATCTATCACATTCCTGAGCTGGCCCTGTTCTCACTCAACATCCTTCAGACTCCTCAGGCCTGGAGGTATCAGCTGCCATGCAGACATCTGTCCAGGTGCCATCTGTGGACAAGCAGCGTGAGCATCACTGGGGGCTGCCTGGAGATGCGGGACCCCAGGCCCCTTCGGACTCACTGAATCCATTTGCATCTTAATGCCACGTCTGGTGGGACTGCACAACTGCTCCAGTCCTCTTCCCATCTCCCTTACAATGTCCTCCGCTTGTGTTCAGTTTCCAGCTGAAAGCACTTCCTTTTGCCTCTTCTCACCTTTAGTGAATTCCCCTTGATTACTAACACTTTAATTTTGGCAATTGTTAAAGCTCCTCAGTTTATTTGATAATTGCTTGCTTTTCTTTCAGTATGAATGACCCATACTAATTCCCCTTCTGTGAAAGAAAATTCTGGAGATACTAAAGAATCATTGGAAAATGACCTCAAATCCTTCCATGAAGAGTTCTGCATGGTGGTGTCGCCTACATCACAGATGAAGTGTGTGTCCTTCAGTGTGTCTGGAAGGATGACTAAGTGATCCATAGCCCCTTCTGCTCCCATTTTGCCCCTCATCCCCATCCCTGGCCCACAGTTGTTTATATAGCTCAGTCTTATCCTTTCTGTAGAGAAATAAGACCTTAGGGGGAAAAGATTACTATGAAATATAAAGATGGCTGATTTTGCTCTTTCCTAACTCTTATTTCCCATTTCACTTCAATATGGTCCATGATAACAATCACTTCTAAATACAGTGAAAATTTGATACACATGTAACTACAGACTCATTTTTCTTGCAGATCAAACTTTACCTCCTCCATCTTCTCAATACCTGGAGGTACATTCTTACAGAAAGTTCATAAAGTTGATGTTATCCTGCCCTTCCAATCCAGTGAATTAATGGAGTCCTGCTCAAGTTAGAAAAGTCCTGTCTGCTCTGCACCCCCATTCTGTAAATAGACGTCATCCTATGTAACTACCTGGGCCTTCTTCCCACCTTCTCTGGCCACCCCTAATTCTCATTGGACAACTTCCATGTGCAGCACCCATGAGCATCAGATAAAAAAAGAGAACAGGAAAACACCCTGTACTATGTTTTAATTTTGGGTTCTGGTGTCTCTTCTTTTAGACCCACCCAGATTTTAGAAGTCAATTCTTTTTTTATGAGCACTATATTGTTAATATAGAGACACCAGTGCACGGCTAGCTTCAGGTGACATCGCTTTGATGTTATGAAGAAGAGTTAAAACAGATAGAGAGATTCCTTGATTCTTGCTAAAATCAACCCCTTCCCTTCTCCCAGATCTCATACCTACACAGATTTTATCCTTTAAGATTCGTGTCAGGCACCCTCATCTTTGCCGCATTTTTCATAACAAGCTCTTAACCAGTCCAATGCATGGCAATCTCCTCTTCCTGGCTTCCTCTTTCCCACTGCAAAGTTAGTCTGTAGCATGGAATTCTGCACTTAAATACAACCTTAAATTTTAAGATGCTTATTTATTTAGATTTACCTAGGGCTTGGAATGTAGTTCAGTGATTATATGCATAAGGTCTTGTGTCTGATCCTTGCACCACAAAACCAAAAGCAAAAATCTAGTCAGATTAAAAAAAATATAATGTATTCTGTATTCTCTCCAATAATATTGCACATTCCTTAAGGGTAGAGATTGGGCCAGATCCCTGCAGAGTTTAGTTTATTACTAGACACTCAGGAAATGCATTGAATAAATTCGAAAGAGCATACAGTGCACTGTTAATGTAAGTTTCAGGAAATGCTCTCTCTTCATGGCAGGTTATGATCTGGACAGATACCTAGTGTCAGTGTTTGAACTGTTATGAAAGAATAGGACCCTAATAGAAACTAGTTGAAAATACCTCCTTGTCCTGTGGCCAATATAGCTTTCATACAAATTTGCACATCTTATGAGAATCATTTTTTGGTAACAAGTCATCTTAGATTCTGCATTACAGCAAGGGCTATTGCAAAAGACCCTTCATCTGGTGCATCTCCGGGATGTGTCATTCACATTCATGTGGCTCAGAAGCTATTCCCTGGAGCTGTCTTGTACACAGCCTGCACAGAATCACATGCAAGTGCTCACAGCTCCGTCTGAAAACATTATTCAACTGAATGTCAGGCCCAAGGAACCCAAGTGAGACTATCTCTTGGGAGTAAGATGTGTATAGATTTTAAAATACAAGCTCTAAGGCTAGTATATGATCTTAGGAATTATATCATGCTACCTCTCCAGAAGTAGTTCTGGGGTCTTCTGAGATGAGAAGCCATGTGTTTACATGAGAAACTAGCTCTCAGATTTTCCCAGCAGAAGGTCAGCTATGGTGAGGAGGAAAGGCATGGGGTGGGGAGTCAGACACCATGTGAGTCCTGCTTCTACCTTCATGGTGTGACTTACATGAGTCATTACCTCTGTGAACTGCGGAGTTACTTATGAAATGGGGATGCCATCATCTTCTTTGTTCTCCAGATTAAATAAAATCATTCCCCTGTTGCCCAGAATGCTAATTTTTATGAAATTGATAGGGTTCAAAGTGTAAGGGAAAGGAGTCTATAGACAGGAAAAAAAATAGAATATGGGCCTCATTAGGCTTTCTAGCAAATCCTGGCTAGAAAGAGTTAAAACTTTGCTGGAGCAATTAACAAGACAAGAGGGAGAGCTAATGAGCAGAGCATGGAGGAAGCCAGGTGCCTAGCTAAGGTAGCAGCCTCTTACCCACTTCTAATAAAATGCAAGAGACAAGGGGTGCCCATTTAAAAGAAAACTCTTATTTAGTATATAAAAATACATACACGTATATGTATTCTCACTCTAGGGTGACTATATTGCTGTACTAGATAACATACATTCCCTTAATCACTAACTTTAAGTTGACTTGTCTGTAAGCCTCCTCCTAATCAACCTATAAATCCCAGACATAAATCCTACCCAATTGCCAGACAAGGACAAGTGGGCAGGGAGAAAACAAAGTATACCAAAGGAATGTGCATGTGCATGTGGACAACGGCACTTGGGTTAGGGTCTTGGGGCCCGGGATTCACTTATGACAGTTCAGAAAGTCAATCAGGTTGTGACAAGTTCCAGGTATTGACCTAAGGGGGAAGGGTTCCCTAAAACATAATAAAAAGAAGTTGAGGACAAAGGCCAATGGATATTCACCTTTTCTGATGTCCCCTGCCCTGGTACAGGACAGCTCTCTGTCTTCTCCTTTTCTCTCATATAAAATAAAGTGTCTTCTTTCCTAAACGTTGTTCCTTAATTCATTACTTGTGCCGAGTTTACTGTCTGGATGACCTGCTCAGATAGTGGAGCAGCAGTGTGGTGCCCACTTCTGGAACAACAAAGGATCGCAGAATTATCCACCCTTCTGGAAATGTTTATCATAGATCAGTTTGCCTGGGGTACACTATGGTAGTTTCCTGCAGAACTATTTCACCAAATTAAAATCTAATTGTATTGCTTCAGCTCTGACATGAAAGATCTGCTACCCAATTGCCACATACTTCCTGTGTAACTCTTGGCTTCCCTGAGACTTGGCTCTAGTTTTCAACACAGGCCTAAAGCAGAACCAGATCTGTAATGACCTAATGAGAAATAGTGGGGTAAGAAAGAGGCTTCATAGCTACTCATCCTGTGAAAAATTAACAACATGATCCTGTAGATATCTGTTTTCTTCCCCCAACTTTTCTGTTCTCTGCAGGTTGCACTGTCTCTTCACTTCCCCTTTTCTCCAAAGTTCTAAATTTTTCCTCTTGGCAATTCAATTCTTCCTTCTGTTGAATGTTCCCATAAACAGGATGAAAATCTGCCATCACCAAACAACCTACAATCCATGCGATGGGACAGGGAAACTACTCAGAGAAAGAATGAGATCTTTACTTACTTTTGACCTAAGTGGTTCTGTATGACCTAGTGGGCTCTGAAAAGTTTATGGCATGCCTATAGACGTTCCTATGTGAGTCTGAAAAGGGCTGTAGTTGGAATTAAGTTTTATTCCGCAATTTGGTATGAAGCTTGGTCCACAAAGCAGTTCTGGCAGCAGTATGTCCAGCACTAATTGTTTTAATAGTAGTAGTAGCCATGATAATGAAAACAGTGGGGGTAATCTTCTAAAACAATGTTATCTTAAGCTCACCTTAGTTGGCACCCACTTATCAAGGTTGGCATCCAAGTCACTTTTGGGGAGAAAACTACCTTTACTTTATAAGCCTCAGGATAGAAGGTGAGACCCTGCAGTTGGTAGGAACTCAAGCAGCAGTAGCATGTAACTAAGGCACTCTGTAAGGAAGTGTGGAGATGTTAGATTTCTTTGCTTCTGTGAGGACATGAGAAGTTAAAACAAGAGAAGTAATAGAAGTAGAGAGACTTGTGGGCTGGGGATTTAGCTCAGTGGTTTCACCGCCTGCTGCGCAAGCGCAAGGACCCGAGTTTGATCCCCAGTACCAAAAAAAAAAAAAAAAGAGGGAGAGAGACTTGTACTGAGTAACTACTTTAAAGGTAATTTAAATATAGTAACTATTGTTATTCTATTATTTGGTCATGAAAATGTATTTTATTTCTTCATAAAATAAAAAAAAAATTTTAAAAAGAAGTAGAGAGAGGAGAACTAGAAATGTGAGAAGCTGAAGAATATGGTAGAGGTAAGATTTAGAAGACTAAAGTGGCTGTTGGTAGTATAACTCCTCAGCATTGCTTGAACCTTCTGAAAATATCTATGCATGCACAGGCTCTAGAGCTCCAGGGCTCTGAAGGAGAAAGGGCTGTTAACCTTAGATTGGAAAAACAGTCACAAGGGCATAGCCAAGTTTTGTCCCACAGGCAAGTTGGAACAAAATATTTTGGCAGAAAAAAATATTTATAAGAAAATCAGTATGAGGGTAAATATGAAAATCAAGCTTTCTGGGAATTTTTAGAACTCTCAGGGCTTCTACAATTATCAGTATTTTAGATACATTTTATCTCAATTTTAAAGGTTACAGTTAGATCTGTGTTGCATATCTCACAGCATATGATGATATTGGATGATATTGAGCCTATTTAAAATTTTAGGAACCTGAGATTCCAAGATATTAAATAATTACTCTAAATATGTATAGCCAGACAGTATCTGTACAGCGAGTGTGCTGTGTGAGGCAGCGTATGGAGAACCAAGGACATAGGTGGTACAAAGAATTTACCAATGACAAGGAATGTAGAAAAGACAAGAGTTTATTTAGATCAGGGTACACTGTCAAAGAGGGATGGTGGGTGAATTTCCAAGGCAAGAATCATACAATCTGGATGACTGACTGGGGTTTTTATAAGAATTTGAAGATATGGAAAAAGTATCTGGGCAGCAAATGTGATTATTTAAAGAATGTCTTTTCCTGGATCTTTTAATGCCTTGTAGATATACTTATATTCTGTTTAAAGTTATGTTTATAGTTGCAATTTTGACAAGACCTTCCCCACTAGTTTACAGAAAGCCTTTAGCTTTAGATAAGAAGGTGATAAGGAGATCTATACATATGTTTTAGAGAAGATGGGTTGAGACTCATTGGGAGGAATGGATGGTAGAACAGCTATGTGCAGGACGTCTTTATCTTGAGTTCTTCTGTTGCTGTAACCCTTTGTTTCCAATGGGCAGCCTCCCTACAGAGTGCTTAACAGGTAGGGGGAGTGTAATGGTTAATCTTGG